TGTAAAGGTAGATAACTCCTATAAAATTTCATCGAATCGCTTCGATCCAAATTAGCCAAAAATTCCTGAGGATGTAACGAACAATTTGGAAAATAATTTTGTCGATATCTTTTTTTTTTACGAAGGAGATGCACACACTTGATAAACAGTGAATAGGGAGATGACTCTTACAAGGAAAAGTGTTCGTCTTAGCAGGATGAAATTTAAAAACGCATAAACTGTGCGATACAATATGAGAAATATCTAAGCGAAATATTGCGAAACAAAAATTTCAAAATTTGGCGGAAAAAAAAAAATAATAATTAAAAACCAATTGTTCAAAGAACAATTGAAGGTCTTTCCACATCAATTTTCTAAATAATTGATGAGGACCTTATTCTGGCTTACTCAAAGCTACTATTGGCGTCCAATCATAGGTTTCTTCATACTGATTCAATAAACATATGGTTTCTATAGACTTTTGCCTGAAATAAGTGAGATAATTGTCAACTTCCGGTTTAGAAAATGTCACTTCCGGTCTCATATGATAGCTTTATTTACACTGATTCCAAAAATATATGGTTTATATATACTTTTGCCTGTAAAAAGAGATAATTGACTACTTCTGGTTTAGAAAATGTCACTTCCGGTCTCATATGATAGATTTATTTACACTGATTCCAAAAATATATGGTTTAAATATACTTTTGCCTTTAAAAAGGGAGATAATTGACTACTTTCTGTTTAGAAAATGTCACTTCCGGTCTCATATGATAGCTTTATTTACACTGATTCCAAAATTATATGGTTTATATATACTTTTGCCTGTAAAAAGGAAGATAATTGACTACTTCCGGTTTAAAAAATGTCACTTCCGGTCTCATATGATCGATTTATTTACACTGATTCCAAAAATATATAGTTTATATATACTTTTGCCTGTAAAAAGGGAGATAATTGACTACTTCCGGTTTAGAAAATGTCACTTTTGGTCTCATATGATAGCTTAATTTACACTGATTCCAAAAATATATGGTTTATATATACTTATGCCTGTAATAAGGGATATAATATGCTACATCCGGTTTATAAAATATCACTTCCATTCTCAAATGATAGATTAATGTATGACTATTCAAAAAATATATGGTTTCTAGGTACTTTTCCATGAAATAAGTGCAAAAAATACTACTTCCGGTTCACTCAAGATCACTCTTGGTTTACTTTTTTTAAGGTCATATGTCAACCAACAGTTGGCAAAAAACCCTATGGCTTTATCATGTACCAAGTTGGAGTAATAATCAATTAACCTTAAATTGAATCATTTCAGGGACAATAACTCCTATAAGATATCATTGGATTGTTTCAGACCAAATGTATCATATCTTAATCACAATTAAGCAAACATTTTGCACAAGTTCTTTAATTTGTAATTTTAAAAGTGACAGAGGAGATGAAATAACAAGGAAAAGTCCAAATTTAGAATATGACCTTGACCTTTGACCTTGGCCTCAATTTCATTTAAATGAACCAAGCAACTCAAATCAATATACCTTAGGTCTCTATCACTTACCATTTATGCTATACATTTATATATCCCTTATGTCAAATACAGAAGGGGAAATAACTCTCATATGGAGTTTACGTATCGCTTCGGTCAAAATTGGACAAAACATCCTGAGGATATAACGAGCAATTTGGTAAAATAAATTTGTCGCTTTCTTTTACGGTTACGGAGGAGATGCGTGCACAAGGAAAACAGTGTTCGGGGAGATAACTCCTACAAAGAAAATTATTTGGTTACGCAGGGTCAATTTCAAAGGCACATAAACTGTTCGATATCATATACCAAATATCTAAGCGACACATTGCGAAACAAATATTTATTGCAAGAACAAAATTAGGAGGAAGAAAACCAATAGGTCTTTCCACAGAAAAGTGGAAAGACCTAATAATAATTAAAAACCAATTGTTCAAAGAACAATTGAAGGTCTTTCCACATCAATTTTCTAAATAATTGATGAGAAGCTAATTCTGGTTTACTCAAAGCGACTATTGGCGTCCAATCATAGGTTTCTTCATACTGATTCAATAAACATATGGTTTCTATAGACTTTTGCCTGAAATAAGGGAAATAATTGTCAACTTCCGGTTTAGAAAATGTCACTTCCAGTCTCATATGATAGCTTTATTTACACTGACTCCAAAAATATATGGTTTATATATACTTTTGCCTTTAAAAAGGGAGATAATTGTCTACTTCCGGTTTAGAAAATGAAACTTCTGGTCTCATATGATAGATTTATTTACACTGATTCCAAAAATATATGGTTTATATATACTTTTGCCTGTAAAAAGGGAGATAATTGGCTACTTCCGGTTTAGAAAATGTCACTTTTGGTCTCATATGATAGCTTTATTTGCACTGATTCCAAAAATATATGATTTATATTTACTTATGCCTGTAATAAGGGAGATAATATGCTACTTCCGGTTTATAAAATATCACTTCCGGTCTCAAATGATAGATTAATGTATGACCATTCAAAAAAAATATGGTTTCTATGTACTTCTACATGAAATAAGTGCAAAAATGAATACTTCCGGTTTACTCAAGGTCACTTCCGGTTGACATTTTTCAAGGTCATATGTCACCCAACATTTTGCAAAAGATCTTATGGCTTTATCATGTACCAATATGAAGTAATAATCAATTTACCTTAAAATAAAACATTTCAGGGGATATAACTCCAATAAGATGTCGCTGGATTGTCTCAGACCAAATGTATCATATCTTCATCACAATATAACAAACATTTTGCACTTGTTCTTTAATATATAAGATTAAAAATATCGGAGAAAATGCAAAAACAAGCAAAAGAAAAAATTCAGAACATGACCTTAACCTTCACCCTTGACCTCATTTTCGAAGTTAGGATCCAAGGACCTCAAATAAAAAGACTATAGGTTTATACGGCTTACAGTTTATGAGTAACAAAAACAAAACGACAAATTTATTTCATAAAGGTAGATAACTCCTATAAAATTTCATCGAATCGCAACGATCCAAATTAGCAAAAAATTTTTGAGGATGTAACGAACAATTTAGAAAAAGAATTTTGTCGATATCTTTTTTTGTTACGAAGGAGATGCACACACTTGATAAACAGTGAATAGGGAGATAACTCTTACAAAGATAATTGTTCGGCTTAGCAGGGTGAAATTTAAAAGCGCATAAACTATACGATACAATATGAGAAATATCTTAGCGACATACAGCGAAACAAATATTTATCGCAAGAAGATAATTTGGCGGAAGAAAAAAAAAATTAAAAACCAATTGTTCAAAGAACAATTGAAGGTCTTTCCACATCAATTTTCTAAAGAATTGATGAGAAGCTAGTTCTGGTTTACTCAAAGCTACTATTGGTGTCCAATCATAGGTTTCTTCATACTGATTCAATAAACATATGGTTTCTATAGACTTTTGCCTGAAATAATGGAGATAATTGTCAACTTCCGGTTTAGAAAATGTCACTTCCGGTCTCATATGATAGCTTTATTTACACTGATTCAAAAAATATATGGTTTATATATACTTTCGCCTGTAAAAAGGGAGATAATTGGCTACTTCCGGTTTAGAAAATGTCACTTCCGGTCTCAAATGATAGATTTATTTACACTGATTCCAAAAATATATGGTTTATATATAAATTTGCCTGTAAAAAGGGAGATAATTGGCTACTTCCGGTTTAGAAAATGTCACTTTCGGTCTCATATGATAGCTTTATTTACACTGATTCCAAAAATATATGGTTTATATATACTTATGCCTGTAATAATGGAGATAATATGCTACTTCCGGTTTATAAAATATCACTTCCGGTCTCAAATGATAGATTAATGTATGACCATTCAAAAAATATATGGTTTCTATGTACTTCTACATGAAATAAGTGCAAAAATGAATACTTCCGGTTCACTCAAGGTCACTTCCGGTTGACATTTTTTGGCTTTTCAAGGTCATATGTCACCCAACATTTTGCAAAAGATCTTATGGCTTTATCATGTACCAAGTTGGAGTAATAATCAATTAACCTTAAATTGAATCATTTCAGGGACAATAACTCCCATAAGATGTCATTTGATTGTTTCAGACCAAATGTTTCATATCTTAATCACAATTAGAAAAACATTTTGCACTTGTTCTTTAATTTGTATCTTTAAAAGTGACAGAGGAGATCAAATAACAAGGAAAAGTCAAAATTTAGAATATGACCTTGACCTTTGACCTTGGCCTCAATTTTATTTAAATGGACCAAGGAACTCAAATCAATATACCTTAGGTCTCTATCACTTACCATTCATGCTATACATTTATATATCCCTTATGTCAAATACAGAAGGGGAAATAACTCTCATATGGAGTTTACGTATCGCTTCGGTCAAAATTGGACAAAACATCCTGAGGATATAACGATCAATTTGGTAAAATAAATTTGTCGCTTTCTTTTACGGTTACGGAGGAGATGCATGCACAAGGAAAACAGTGTTCGGGGAGATAACTCCTACAAAGAAAAGTATTCGGTTAAGCAGGGTCAATTTCAAAGGCGCATAAACTGTTCGATATCATATATGAAACATCTAAGCGACATCTTGCTAAACAAATATTTATCGCAAGAACAAAATTTGGCGGAAGAACAAAAAAAAAATCAGAAGAAAACCAATAGGTCTTTCCACAGAAAAGTGGAAAGACCTAATAATAATAATAATAATATTAATCAGAACAAATACAATAGGTCTTTCCACCGAAAAGTGGAAAGACCTAATAATCAGAAGAAAAACAATAGGTCTTTCCACAGAAAAGTGGAAAGACCTAATAATAATAATAATCAGAACAAATACAATAGGTCTTTCCACAGAAAAGTGGAAAGACCTAATAAAATTAATCAGAACAAATACAATAGGTCTTTCCACAGAAAAGTGGAAAGACCTAATAATAATCAGAACAAATACAATAGGTCTTTCCACAGAAAAGTGGAAAGACCTAATAATCAGAAGAAAACCAATAGGTCTTTCCACAGAAAAGTGGAAAGACCTAATAATCAGAAGAAAACCAATAGGTCTTTCCAAAGAAAAGTGAAAGACCTAATAATAATCAGAAGAAAATCAATAGGTCTTTCCACAGAAAAGTGGAAAGACCTCATAATAAGCATCAAGTAAAATATCAAATATCATAATTCAAAATAAGACATTTTAACATGATTTATGGGCCAATAAGAAATATGTTAAAAAAATTAAAAGAGCTATAATAAGCAAAAATTATCTTGCCGGCGGACTTAAAATGATAGACATAGATAAATATATAGAATCCATAAATATTAATTGGGTAAAAAGACTCATTGATAATGAAGACTCATCACCCAATTGGAAAGTCTTACCAAAATTTTACTTAGACAAGTTTGGACAAGAATTCCTTATATTTAAAATGGACTTTAACAATATTAATCTAATCAATAAACTAAAAGAAATTGTTCCAGAATTTTACTTAAAAATAATTATATCATGGATAAACTCAAAATCTGAAAAAGAATCAAATCGACTAACATATAAGCATATCAGACAGCAACTAATATGGGGCAATAAGCATATCAAATTAAATGGTAAATGTCTTATTTTCAAAAATTGGATAAACAGCAAAATTTTATTTGTAAATGACATAATTGATGATAAAGGAAAAATTAATCAAAATAAGATTTTGGATAAACTATCTTGCCATGCTAATTGGTTTTCGGAATATTCTAAATTGATGAAAGCAATACCAAAACAGTGGTTACAAGAGCTCATAAAAGAAGAGTCAATCAAAACAAAAGTTGCTACCGACTCCGAATTTAAATTCAAAGATGGAGAAGGAAAAATGGTACCAATAAAAATATTTTCCTCGAAAGATATCTACATCTCGCTTTTAAATAGATATTATGAGAAAGCAATAGGATTTCAAAAATGGGACAGAATTCTAAATTTAGATAACAATACAAGGAAAAGAGAACAAATGTTGTACTTCATCTTTAACTATATCCAAGATAATAAATTGAGAATGTTAAGATGGAAATTTCTACATTACATTTTACCAACCAAACAATTACTTTTCTCTTGGAAAATAACTAAAACTCCTCTATGTAATATATGTAATGTCATTGAAGATTATGATCATTACTTTCTGACATGCAAATATCTAAAATCATTTTGGGATCAAATAAAACTAATACTAGACAAACTTAAAATAGGACATCATATAATATCACTGGCATCACTTTTGTATGGATATAAGATAAACGATACAAATTATTACAATATCAACGATTTTCTAACAATCGTACTTTTTACTATATATAAAGTGTATTACATATCCGAGCAGAAAACAAAACAAATTAATGTGTTTGAAATTTTTAAAGGTGAACTTTTCCAACATTACGAAATATTGACAAATAAACAAGGCAAATATAAAAACTTCTACAATTTGGTTGCAGAAAAAATTAATTTATCTTCTTAACTAAGATTTATAATATATCATAGTAATTTCTTTTTATCCTGTTATACATTATTTATTAGCAAAATTGTATGTTGTGTACTAACAAGTACTAACCTTATGAAATGCTATATACTAACGTCAACGAGACCGGGATAAGGTACCGGTACTTTATGTATCTCTAACAAATGTACATTTCAAATAAAATTATACAGAATTAAAAAAAAAAAAAAAAAAAAAAAAAAAAAAAAAAAAAAAAAAAAAAAAAAAAAAAAAAAAGAAATATGTTGAACCTTATCGTTGTTAAAGAATAAATGTTATCAAAAGACCTATGCTAAATCATCAGTATAACTTTCTATTATTTTACAGAAGAGTGGACTCATACCGAATTTAAAGATATGTTGATGGACCATTCCCTGTCAAATGATTATGGTATCAAGTTTAACACTATCAACAAAGACAAGATATGGTTTAAAGTATGGGCCAAGGATGATGTACTCCTGACTCTATTTGGAAATCATAAGATACCTTTTTTGTACATAATAATGGGTTATGGAAAACGCCATCGGAAATTTTATTCGAAATCACCCAGACAAGTTGTTACTTGTGACGATGTTCTGGGAACTGACTACAAATACAGAATATTTTATCTAACATGTGAAAAACATTGTGTCACAGTCGTTAGAGTATTGAATGGAGAAGAAGAAACTGTTCTGAAATGGCCCGATACGAATTGTACTGAGCCACTTAACATTAGCGATATTAGGATATCTAATTACATGCGAGGTAAGATTTTTTTCTTTCTATCGCAACAAAGAGTGTTTATTTTAAACAGTATTTGACCAACAAAAATATACAAATCCCTAACTTAATGGCCAGTCGAGATCCAAGCCAGTAAGTCGTTTACAAAACAATTGTAAAAGATTTACTTGTGATACATTGTATTATGAACGAAATTTTCTTTTCAGCAACCTAGCGTTCATTATTTTCGGATTTCAATTACTTTCATATATGTTTAATATTTACTTCAATCGAGTACACATATGATGCCTTCTTATATATGTCTAGGAGATAAGATTCATTTACATGAGCAGTAAGTGAAAAAGAAGTTAATACTTGAAATAGCACATATCGAAAAATCGTACATTAACTTCACTTTTTACAATTTCAATCTACCAATTCCGAATTTTAAATCGCATGTTAAATGGATAAAGCAAAGTGAAGAAATATTAAGTCATCTTGGTACCTGAAAATGCTAGGCATCAAGGAATCTATTATTTGTCTATATGACGAGAACTTTTGGATTACACATTAGCCTTAATTAGGAATATTTATTAAGTTTGACAACTAAATCTATACTCTATGAACCTTCACAATGCAGTATAAATTGTGGATTTCAAGTCACTCAAACATAAATCCGTGATTACTTAGAATAGAAAGGGGACGTTCACGATTGTCGGCCCTACGACCATGCGTTTGGTTCATTTGGCGAACTTCTTTTCGCCTTGCTGTGCAATAGACAAATGTTACAATAAGTTCCAGATTAAGCATAAATCCTATCATTTAGTAGCTAGATTCCAATCTCATTAAAATCAGCTGTTAGTTTTCGCTGCGAAACTCTCTACCCTAGAGGAGTGTAGCATATTATAACATCGGATTTTAACGAGTTTGGCTAAATTCATTAGTGAAGGTAACTGGACCTCGTACTTATAAAATATCCCGAAAATATTATGACACAAGTAACCGGATTTCGTTGCTAATAAGCATAGTTAGAGCTGGAGTCTATTGTGTTTAAGACAACGTTTGATAACTCTTCATATGCTACAGCCAAATTTTCAAACAAAGTCCCTGTTAATCAATATTCAAGAAGAAATGTAAATTTCGGATTGTAACTTGTACTAGAACAGTATAAACAAACGAATCCTTTAACATCAGACAACATATATATAAATCAAACAAAACTGTATCCTAAGAAAAGCAACCAGGACCATAGGTTTTCTCCGCAGGAACCTTGGCCGTTGCGAGCCATCTGTGAAAACACCACATATTGTGCACTGTTCAGACAATCGATAAGCTGCCACAGTGTGGGACCCCCATCAAACCAACTTGATCAAAGACCTCGAACAAATACAGCGCACAGCGGCACGTTTTGTCTTCAACCAGTACACCGACACTTCCCCAGGCTGTGTCACTGGACTTATAAGACCAACTCCAGATGGATACCCTACAGGAGAGAGAAATGAACCAGCGACTCTTCTTACGCTATAAAAATCAACTAGTGGAGATCCAACCAGCTATCTACTACACACCTGGAGACAGCAGAACAAGAGGTGGCCATGGAATTAGACAGACCAGAGCAACAAAAGGAAGTTTACAGCAACTCCGTTCTCCCGCGCACTATAATAGACTGAAACCTACTGCCAGACACAGTAGCAGCTGCACCAACACTTAAAGAGTTCAGAGCCAGATTAGCCAGTGTGCCCTGGACCCAGATGCAGCCTCAATAGACACCAACTTGCCAATTTGTTAGTGTAAATAGTTTTAATTATTTGGTTAATATGTACTTTTATTCAATGGAGAAGCCTCCTGTTTTACCGAGCGGAGTTATTAATTAAATCACTCAAGTGTGAGTTCAACTCCTTATCGGCTTAAGAAGAGGAAGAAGAAGAAAATAAACAAATATTATGTTGACACTAACGGACAAACATTTCACATAGTACCGAAACGTTCTTTGCTGTGAACTTTTCACTATTGTCTTTTCCCCCCTTTTTGCCATGGCGTTGTCCGTTTATTTTCGACTTATGGTATCTTTGGCCTCTCTTTCACAGCTACGACTCCACCAAGAAAAGTTGGTTTTACATGGCTTGGCTGTTCTGCGCAGTATGGAATACAATTTACAAAGTAACCAAATGGCACCAAGGAACATTAAGATGTTAATACTATATCCTGCTTACTTAAAAATGAATTTGTGATGTCCTACACTCTTATATTGATCGCTGTACTGCAAGGAATATTTCATAAGGCAAAGCTAAAACATTACACGTAGACACGATCTCGGGCAATGCCAGGACCAAACTGTACTAAGTTCAATGCAGATAAACAATTGCTTAAAACCACGTCATTTGGACTCTGTCGAATAGTTGTCTAATTGGCAATAAAACCACATCCCCTTAGTTTATTTTATAAACTTTTGAATTGCTCTCAAATTGACATTTTTCAAATACCAAACCAAACACAGAAAATGATCATGCATACTCTTACTCAAAGAATAATTATAACCTTCATCGATCAATAAAGAAACGCTTTATTAAGCTTTTTAAATTCTGCATTTAAAGTGAACTGGATATTTATGTATGACTTATTACTACATATGATCTGTGATTGACCTCACTCAAGTGATACACTTTTAAATTAAGATATATGTGATTCTACTTTGGCTACAGCTAAAATTCAATCAGATAAAGAGTGTTTTGTTTTAACCTTTTCAAGTTTCAGAAAGGAGTTTTATATTACTAGCTTTCAACTGGTGGTTTTGATTTCAATTCATTTAGTGTAAAGATTAATTTGCATTATTTTGCATTATTTTGCAAATTGGTTCATGATTGAATTTCTGTTCCAATTCAGGTAATAAGGAGTCATGGAAGAGCAAAACCAACAATTCATCAAAATAGATGTAATTTTTAC